ACTTCTCAAAGATTTGTCAGGTATTGATTGTTTGTTGGAAAACTGTCTCCAGTACTGTGGTAGTGACATCATACGAGTTCATCTAACCACTGTCTGCTTAGATGTTAAGTTTATTATGTTGTACAACAACAATTACTTAATCTCATTCATTTATGATCACTGATCACTGCTTTTTACTAATTGATAAGTTTCTGTGTCTCCAGATCCTACTGATAACCCAGAATGCACCAGTGCTGTCCCTGCTGTCAGTTCTTTCAATCAATAACACCTGCGTAAACTCAGGAACCAATGAGGGATCAGTATCAATGTTGAGTCAAAGTCAAAAGTGTGGTGGAAAAAAATATTTTTAACCTCTCTGTGAGAAATAATCATGATGGAACTATTAAAATCAAATTTAATGAACAGACACTTCAATCAAAATTCAGCTGAATGGATAGAGCTCTGTCCCCACGGATGGTTCGGAGGTCTAACAAAATAAAAAGACAAAACAGAGTGTATATGCACGTTATCTCGTCTCCTCTCCCTTCAACTCCCCCCCCCCGTAACCCTCGCAGATGTTGTCCGAAGAAGAACAGGGCCCGGTTCCCAGCCTTTTCGTGGGAAGAGGGTTTAGATTATATGCAGGTTTAGTGATACAAGACAACATATGATATCGGTATGATAAATTTCTCCAACAAAAAGCTTTCATGAATATTTTACCAGTTCAAAGTAATGACATCATCAGCATTAAAAGTTGTACCTGATCATGTTGACTGTAATAAAGTATCAAATAACTTCACATCATCACATCGTTCATTTTATGTAATTAATGTAATTATTAACATAATGATTAAGTGTAATAATATTAATATTGTGATAAAGTGTAATATTTATATTATGAATATTGTGTTAAGTGTTGTAATATTGATATTATTAACATGTTGATAGAGGGTTGTAATATTCAGAATGATCTTTAGGTATTATATTATGTATTATAGTATAATCTTAATAATAAGTATAAAAATGATATGTATATATACCTTTATATTTTATATCATAATACTATTGTTCCATTAAATCAAAATATAATACGATTCTTTGAGTTTAATCAGGTTTTTATTCGAAAATAAAGTGAAGCTCTCTGCAGGTCTGGACTCTGTCATCACTGTTATTTAAAGGCTGAAGGACACCCAGAGCATTGTGGGTAATCTCTGTCCTTATCACAGCAGGGAATGTTAATGTGATACACAGATACAGAGACCGGAATAAATCGACAGAGAGACAGAGAATGAAGTCTGAGACCAGGTTTCACCAAACCGTCTAAAAACAATTAAAAAGGTCATAAAAACAGTGAAAAACAGTTTCTACTGCCTCACAGAATAGACAGACTAAACACAGTGGGAGTAATAACAGAGATAAAGCGTTAACAGTAAAATCCCCCACTGTAGATCTCCAGTTCTCTTTTTAATAGGTTTGTATAAAAACCCTCCAACCTGGTTTCACACAAGTGTCCACATCCAGCTTCTGTCTCCACACTGTGTCAGCTCTACCGGTCACTTTGCTTTTGTTCAGTGTTTTTACACATTGTACGTAGACAGTTTCTCCTTTAGCTGTGTGCAGGTCCACAAGTTTACAGTCTGTTCCACTTAATGATGGTCCTGAGACCTCATTCAGATGTGGAACAAAGCCTAGTTCTGGAAAGAGATCTGTGGAGCCAGGAGCTTCCTCTCCTCTGCCGTACTCCTGCAGCATCTTGACCTCCTCCTCCGTCAGTCCAGGACCAGATACATCCACTTCTTTCCTCAGGGTGGTGGTCCCAGAGGAGCACAGCATGCTGCTGAGACCTGGATGTCCATCCTGGCTCCGTTAACCAGAGGTTCCTCTAGTAACCAGGGTACGTAGGTTCTGGTCTTTTCCATTTAAACCATTTCCACACAGTTTTAAAAGATTAAAATTTACTTCCAGACCAGCTGCCTTCCTTAAAATTGAGGTCACGAGGACTATGATGCAATGACTGCAGTTAGGATATAGGTTGAAATACAATTCATGTAAATAATCTTTAATGAACTAAGACAGATTTACAGTGAGACCTAGTTAAGACATAACATCCAACACATGACAACAGGATGAGGTCACATTAGATTCATCTTAACTAAAGAACATAGTTCCTCGTGTGTGACTGAAGACCTAGTTCAGACTGGTTCAGGTTCTTATCTTCTGACTCTTATCTTCTCCTTAAGTGTTTCTATTCTGGTTTTCTTCCATCTAAGGCCGGCTGCTCTCTCTCTCTCTATCTCTCTCTCTCTCTCTCTCTCTCTCTCTCTCTCTCTCTCCTGCCCCAATCGCCCGGTTGCTCCGCCTCTGGCCGTTATAAAAACCCTTCATCTCCGTCCGTCTTCTCTGCAGCATCATGGCACCGAAGAAAGTGGAACCAAAGAAGACAGAGGTGAAGAAGGTGGAGGCGAAGAAGGAAGAGCCTCCTCTACCAGCCAAACCTGCAGAGCCGGAATCCAAACCTCCCGAGGTGGACCTGAAGAGCATTGTGGTGGAGTTCACCCCCGACCAGATCGAAGAGTTCAGAGACGCCTTCACGCTGTTTGACGAGACGCCCGCGGGCGAGATGAAGATCACCTTCGCTCAGTGCGGAGACGTGATGCGGGCCCTCGGCCACAACCCCACCAACGACGAGGTGCTAAAGCTGCTGGGGAGGCCGAAGGCGGAGGAGCTGAACGTCAAGCTGCTGGACTTTGATGCCTTCCTGCCAATGCTGCAGCACGTGGCCCGGTCCAAAGAGCAGGGCACCTTTGAGGACTTCGTGGAGGGTCTGAGGGTGTTCGACAAGGAGGGCAACGGCACGGTGATGGGGGCCGAGCTCCGCCACGTCCTGTCCACGCTGGGGGAGAAGATGACGGAGAACGAGGTGGACCGGCTGATGGTGGGGCAAGAGGACGCCAACGGACTCATTAACTACTCCGAGTTCGTCAAACACATCCTGGCCGGGTAGAAACCACCGCTGGGTTCTTCTGATGGACTGGGGTTCTGTCTGTCCCTGATGGACTGGGGTTCTGTCGGTCCATGATGTCTCTGTATGTTTCCTTTCTGTCTCTCTAATAAAACATCTTCAGTCTGTTTCTCAGTATTTAAATAATATAAAGTAAGAAAGCTTTATTATTTTTAGTAGTATGAAGGTATTTTTTTGTGCATACATGTATTTAGTAACAGGAGGATATGTTAAAATGTACTACGGGCAGATATTAAAAGAAACATGAATTAAATACAGGATTTTTATAATTGAAAATGTATTATTAGAGACAAACATTAAATAATTTCTCTCTTTGTTGATGGACACAATATGACAGATGTGTCTGAAAAATGAATTAATAAAACCATTCAGCCAGTTCAACTAACTGGTTGTTAAAAAAATGAGAAGACAAAAACGTGTTTTTGTTTGAGTGTTATTGGACTTTTATGAATGCAACAGAACATGTTAAGCTCTTGGAATACATATTTTTAATTGTATTTATGTATTTATCATTATTATCTTTATAACTGACAATATTCTGAGTTTTTGGATGTTGAAGTTTAAAGATATTGAAAAAGTGGCCGATAAGGTTGAAACTAGTTGCTGATTCATAAAATCTGTTGTTTTCTATATTTTGTGTTTCGATTAAAGATGAATTACACTTCATATCTGACATGAAAGAAAACAATGAACCAGCTGCTGGTCGTCTAAAAATAAAACTAAAGAAGAAGCAGAAAGTCCAACGTCATCATTTATTGTAAAACTTCATCCAACAGGTTTTTATTAATCTTCTGTTACAGTAACTTTAAATCTGCTCTTCTAATAACACAAATATATACATATACATATATATATACATACATATATATACATATACATATATATACATATACATATATATACATATATATACATACATATATATACATACACATATATATACATATATATACATACACATATATATACATATATATACATACATATATATACATACATATATATACATACATATATATATACATACATATATACATACATACATATATACATACATATATACATACATACATATATACATACATAAATATACATACATATATATACATATATATACATACATATATATACATATATATACATACATACATATATATACA